AACAGCTCCTACTTTTAAAATCAATCACAATACCTCCAGCCCCCAAAGAATCTTTAGTAGGCTTGCACCACTGGCACCACTGACCTAACCCCCTACTTACATAGCACAATACTTAACCAAAGACTTCTGCATGGCAGTGCAACTGTTTATCACGCTGAACAAAATATGTATTCAATCCTAAGACTCCAGCTTCCCAGGCAGTACAGAGAGCCTTTCACTACACTCACAGTAACAATACTCCTAGGCCTTACAGGTGCTAAAGCAGCCATTAGGGCAGCATCTCTGGCCTTGCAGGACCAGAACTATAAAGCTTTAGGGGCAGCTATTGACTTAGACATAGAGAAAATAAATCTCCCTCCTACAAGAATCCTTAACCTTCCCCTCAGAAGTTATTTTACAAAATCATAAAAAATTAAATCTGTTATTTTTACAGCAGAGAAGTTTACGTGCAGCCTTAGGAAAAAAATGTTGTTTTTATGAATTAGGGAGGGACTCTGAAAGCGTAAACTAGAGCAAGAACAATCCCAATCATGGTCCACAGTTCCCCCTGGCTCACCACCTTACTGTCAGCAATTGCTGGCCCACTTTTAATCCTGCTCCTGCTACTGACTCTAAGACCCTGCATCATTAATCGCCTTGCTGCTTTTATACAGGCCAGAATCAATACTGTTCAGCTGTTAGTCCTCTGTTCCCAAAATGCCCCCATGCATACTGTAAAAGATAGAGCTCAGGATTGAGCATCAGTCACAAGAGAAAGGGGGAAATGAGAGGACCAGACTAGCTCCATCTTGCTGTTTACTACATAAGCCCCACTCCTAGCTGTTTACTACATAAGCCCCACTCCTAGCTGTTTACTGCATAAGCCCCATTCCTAGCTGTTTACTGCATAAACTAGCCCTTCCGCCCCAACCTCTGCCAGTAAAATCTGCAGAGCCACTCCCTGCTGCCTTCCCCCACCCCTCACCTGTACCAATCCAAATCCTCCTTTACTAATGAAATCACCAACCACCAATAAAAAGTGTACTCGTATCCAACCCTACCCCTCTTGCTTTCTGTACCCCATAAAAACTTCCTCCACCCCGGGTTCGAGGCTCTTCCTCGGCTTGCATGCCAGGAGAGACCAGGCCTGGGCTTGAATAAAACTCACCTTTTGTTTTTTAAATCGGAGTGTGTCTTGGATTCGTCTGTTGGGGCTATTTGGGAGAATAATTTTTGGGTATAACAATGGTGGTTCACACCTGTACTTGTGTCATCAACATCAAAGGCCCTGTGTTGGGTGAATTCCCACATAAAATTAGCTAAATGAAAAGTGCTCTTTTAATTCCAGAAACTGAGTGAAAAGACTCGTAAGTATTGTGTGGTTTTTGTCAAGGCCTAGCCACCTGGGAGAGCATGGCAGGGGCCTGCAGGCAAGGTGTAACAACCTTCTGCATGGAACCCTGACTATGCAGTCAGTCAGCCTACCAGATCCCATCTGTGCAGGAGACATGGCTCAAAGGTTGTGAATGAAAACTCCATCGGAAAAGCAGGGGGCTTCCAAACCACAAGAAAACAGAGTCATTGAGCTTGTTTCTCAGAAACTTAACTGAGTACATGGAAGAAAAAAAGTTTTACTTCCCTGTTTGTCCTGACCTTTAACTTTGACAATGGAAGTCAGATAATATAGGGTTGTTTTAGGTCTTTAGGGAGGAATAGCTTGAGGCTAGTCTTAAGATGGTTATCTTACTTTCCTAGACTTTCTGTCTTTTCTATAGTTTAAGATAAGAATACAGAATGCTAAGATTATTGATTAATGTGATGTATGTGACTAGCTCCCAATAAAAAGGGAGTCGAGAATAAAGGTAATTTGCTATTTGCCACCAAAGAGCAGTAGCCATTTCTTGCTTTCATACACTTCCAGGAGCTTGCACCTGTGGCCAAGCCTTCCTTCTCTCCCCATGAGAAAGTACCACCCAACAAATGGCATAGTCAGCAGCCCTGCTGCACACACACAACAGTGGTCACTCACACCCTTCCCCACTCTCCTCCATACCTGACCACAGGCTGGCTGGGAACCCTCTCTAAGAGAAGTCTCCCATTTGAACACCTAGTAACTGACCTATAGCTTT